TTTCCCTTCCATTCCCTTTTCTTGCCTCTTTCATACCAAGTGACAACAAAAGCCCTACTTTCTTTAGTTTGCAAAGGAAACCAGCCATATGAGAACCTGGAATAAACTGGTGGACTAATATATCCCAAAGTCTGAAGATAAACTGCTTGAATGCTTTCATTGCATTTGAGACCCCACCTGGAGTGCTGTGTCCAACTGTGGAGCCCTCAATATCAGAAGGATATTGACCACTTGGAGCGAGTCCAGAGGAGGCCACGAAGATGATCAGAGGGCTGGAGCACCTCTCCTATGACGAAAGGCTGCAAGAATTGGGCTTGTTCAGCCTGGAGAAGAGGAGGCTCCGAGGAGACCTCATTGCAGCCTTCCAGTACCTGAAGGGGCCTACAAGGGTACTGGGAGAGGACTATTTACAAGAGCCTGTAGTGATAGGACAAGGGGTAACAGGTACAAATTGAAAACAGGGAGGTTTAGATTAGATATCAGGAATAAGTTCTGCCCGGAGAGGGTGGTGAGGCACTGGAACAGGTTGCCCAGAGAAGCTGTGGATGCCCCATCCCTGGAAGTGTTCAAGGCCAGGCTCGATGAGGCTTTGAGCAACCTGGTCTAGTGGAAGGGGTCCCTGCCCATGGCAGGGGGGGTGGAACTAGATGATCTTTAAGGTCCCTTCCAACCCTAACCATTCTATGATTCTATGACTGCAGTAAAAGGGAGAGAAGAATAGGTGACTGTCACCTGACAGTCACCACTGAGAGACAGAATCTCTGGAAACCTACCTCAAGCCCATTAAGTAAAAGAGTTACTGGAGGGAACATCATGCAAGAAAGCATCCGAAGCAGAGAGAATTTTTTACTTGTTGGACAAAGGAAAGAATGTCTCTAATATACCTGCCCTTATGCCACTCCAGCCAGAATGCTCCCTCTGGGGAAAGAGGAAGATAACACATTTGACATCACTGGAGGAATATCTAGTGTATTTGAGTGCTATAGTGTTAATTTAATTAACAAGTAATTTTATTGCTGCGATTACAAATTGAATGGCATGGATTTAACAGAAACTTTTCTCCTGAGATAATGGAAAGTATTACATTACTGGAGTGTGTTTGGAGATAGCATTGACTGTACATATGCATTTCAGGTGGGAGGAAATCGGAGTCTTTCAGATCATGTTGATATGTTGTATCAGGATAGCAAGAAACGAGGAAGAATTCACCATGACTTGATAAAAGGTTGAGACACCCAGAAACTTTTAATGTTTCAAATAGAATTTTTCCTTATATGCACCTATAGTTATTTTCCTAATTCTATACTACACTATTTGTTTATAAACTTACATTTCCTGGAACTTGTTGGTTTTTCATTTTTCTTTCAGCCAAAGATGCTGCATGCAGCTGTTCTGAAGATGCTGGTTCTAGATGGTGAATCAGTCTATATCTTGATGTCTCATCCTATTTTGCTTCTTATAGCCAGGATAATCCTTGTGAATTCAAGACGCAAACTTACATCTATTCAGGTAAGAAATATGTGACTAATGATTGACTGCCAGCTACTCATTAATTGGTTTTCTCATTCTTTTCTCTTTATCCCTCATTGAATCAGTATAACTTCCATTTCTTTTTTTGTAGTTCTCAGGAGGAGTTCAGATAGAGTGATTACAATAAAACACGAATGTTTTTCTTAAAGATAAGCTATTTTCTCACTGTCTTCCCAGAAGATGAGAAAGATGCCTTCATTACTTGGAAAAAGTAGAACTATATAGGAGGCAGCTTTTAAAAATAGACACATACTTTGTGACATTATTTGAGGGATGGCTGGGGTGAATGCCCTATAATGCATGATACGTATAGTATGTTCTTTCTAACAAGCTTTGGGATACTATTACTGTATTAATTCTAAGCCATGAGTTCTAAATGCTAAGGAAGTCCTTTTTTCTTTTGTCATTGTCCTCTACCTCTTCTGCAAGCATCCATTCTCTGTTTTCCTTGTACATTAAAAACAAGAAAACATGATGAACCTCTTCTTGGGAGGGTTTTCGTTGCTACCTTCTTTGTAGTTTAGCAGCAGGCTGGTTGGTAGCAGGACTCTGGAACAGGAGGACTTTTAACAGCAGCAACTTCTCTTTATTTCATTCCAGTTGAACAGAATTTGGCTGAAGATCAAAACGCCACATGGTCCCTCTTTATGCTTGGCTGACAGCATCCATTCCCAGCTGGGTCTTTGTATGAGTGATGAATTAAACTGTGTGGGAGATGTTGGCTGTACACCATTTTTGGAAGCCAAGCTCCTCCATCATTTTCCCTGTTTTTCACAGATGAGTGCTGTTGAATTTCAGCAATCGGGTCAGTCAGGGAGGCAGAAAATGTACCTGGTATAGAGAATTCCTTTGCTGCCTCCCCTCAGACTGAAATAATGGGGGGCCTTTTTCTACACAGTGGAGATTCAATTACTTGTGGCTACATCAAGTTTGGACAGTAGTTCAAAGGCAGCAACTGATAAAAACTACTTTCATCAACAGGTCAACGTAGCAATTAAAGCTTGCCATTTTTCTCATTTCAGCTTGATTCAAAGGAATTCTCTAAGTACCTTTGCTTCTTTGATTAGTACAAAAAAATTTACACAGGGTAAAATAGTCTGAAATGTATTATCTAAGGCATTAATTAAGCCATAGATGTTTTACTAAAAAATGCTATTGTACATGAAAGTTTAAGTGCTTAAAAATCATCCAAAAATTCTTAATTTGGCTCCCAGAAAACTAACACTGCTGATAGAATATTCTACGAAGCTCAGCTGGCTTGTCTGAAACTTTATAAATATGTTTTCTCTGATTCTAACATTTCTGAGTAGCAAACATCAGGCCTCAGGAAATTGTATCACTAAGCTGGATACTCAGTTCTGTGGGAAAATGAATACTTCATTATATAAAGCTAAACGGAAGTAATTTGAAACTTTTCACTTAAATTGCCATTAGGTTTCTAAATAAGTGATGAAATACTGACATTTGACCTTTTTCACAGAGTCTGTTTGTGTGCTTTCACTCTGTTCAGGTTGATATTAAAAGTCGTCTTTCATTGGTTTTTGAAATAGATGCTGTTCTTTTTGATGGTTCCTTTTCTAGGGACATCAGTCGACAACATGTGATTGGTTTAGATGTTTTTGTTTGAATAGGGTACAGCCCTCAGGTCAGTCTGTAAGCATACCTGTTCAGAGGATGGGTGCCTCTCAGAAGCATGAACATCTGTTCCACAGAAAAGGATTGGCATGCTAACGGTAGCAGAATAATGTTGATTATTATATTATATATAATGATTATCATCATTATAATAATGATGATTACTAGTAATCATCAGAGCCTGTGTAGAGGTATGCCCTATGTTCACAGATCTTAAGTATCTTAAGTATAATTTTGAGAAGTAGAATATTATGTTATCATTTAGCTTTTCCATGCATTTCCAGCTGGGACAGCTAGAGAGGGATCAGATATGCTGATGTTTTGTGTACACAGCTTTCTAAAATCAGGTATTTCCTAGCATGAATCAGCTCTGCTAAAGAAAAATTCCTTAGTTCAGTAAGGTATTTGCCCTTCTGAAATTCTAAATACAAACATTAATACTTTCAGTTGTGACTGTAAGGTGTTCTCATGAGCAGTTCTGGTCCTCTTCCACCTCTCTTGGTCTCCTTTCTATCCCCACCTGAAGAAATAAAAAGATTAAAACAGAACAGGAAAAATTGCATAGAAGGGCAATGCAGGTTGATCCGAAATACTGAACTACTTCCATACAAAAAGCAACTAAATAGTCTAGGACTCTTCAGGCTGGAAAGATTATTGAGGAGTGAGATCATGGCTATCTATTTAAATCATGAGTGACACAAAAAAAGGTGATTAGGAGACAGGGATTTTATTTGTCTTTCTGTTACAAGAATTTGAAGGTATGAAATCAGAGTAGCAAGTGGTACTCCAAAATAAGCACACACAGGTATTTCTCTTATCTCCTATTCACAGAGGGTTTTTTGTGGTCCTGAAGATTTGCATGGTTCAAAGGGCGGCAAGAGATATTAAAAGAGGAAAAGCCCATCAAACTCTTAGAGCACTGTAGAGCTGCTTGAGTATGTTCCTCTTTATGCTAGGGTAGTGCTCGCTTTTAATATAAACCAGCTATTTTGCTTGGGTTTATATTTTTTTTAGTAATTAGAATCAAATAGATTACAAATTCTACATTTTAAAGCCATTTATTTATTTGTTTGTTTGTTTTTTAAAAGGGCCTAGACTTGTTGTTAACTTCAGGTATCCATATTTTCTTTCAGACCTTATCTTGGTGGACTCTAAGATGTGTGAATATTCACCAGCAGTTGTTAGAGGAGAGATCACCTGAGCTCTTTACCCTTGCCCAGGCCTGTATAAAACAAGGTATGTTTCTACTTACTCAGTTTATTGCCTTACAGCATCAGTTGTAAGATACTGTGGGGGAGAGGAATTTGTAGACACAGCTCTCACAACATGATGCTTATCAGATGCTTATGTAACAACAGAAAGTAGAGAGGAAACAGAATTCACTTAAACTGACATGGACTTGTATGGCACACGCTATTTTCCAGACTTTAAGTTGAAAATGGCAATATGTGATTGCAGACAAACGGTTTGTTTCCCCATGCTTCACACTGTTAACTTGTGACAAGGTCACTTAAAGCCATTCTGTACAGTTTTCATTCCTTATTTAACTGAGCTTGTTTTTGAGAAGGGGAATGTCCTTGTTCTGTATCTTCAGGGGGAGACAAATTTTTTCCTCTTTCTTTATCCCCACCTAAGTTTTGAGACTTGTTACTTCTCTGCATTATATGCAGAGCAAACAGACAGCATTAAAACTAAATTATGTAATACATATATTGATCCTTACATAAGTATAAGGTATAAAGTTAAAATTACAAATGTAATTATGTTGCTTGGGATTTTTTTTTAAGAGGAACAAACTCTTATATAGACTGGTAATATCATTTGCTGCAGCAACTGCTAAAGCTGGAGAAAGAAGGCAAGCTTTTATGTACATTTGCCCCTCACTAGTTAGTCAGGTAAAGATTCGTTATTTAACTTCACAAACCTGAAATTTCCAACCAGGTATATTTAAGAAATTTTGCATTACCTTTAGAGATGAGTTGTCATGTATGTTTTATTTTGACAAAGGTGGCAATCAAGTTTCTTCTGTCCTACCATTCATTAATGGAGCTTTTTGATCTGAACCATATGTAGGTTCAGGACATGCAAATTATATGTAAAATATGAAGTGGGTTTTGGTCTTTGAAGAATTCACAAAGAAGTAACAAAGGTGTTAATACACTAATGCAATTAGGCAGGGGATTTTATTGGGTCATGTGCAGTGAAGAAGCAACTGACTTAATGCTCTTAGTGAATACTACAAGTACGGAAGTGGAAGGGTTTTAGTGCAACTGATGTAAAATGCTATTTGTATTTTTTTATATTTTATTAGGGAATTTTGAACTAACTTCTAGAGTTATCCTGCACAGATGTGGGAATCAACTTTAAATTCTACTTAATCTGAATTTAAAATTTTTAGTTCTTGGAAAGCTGGAAGTGTCACTGATGTGATGCACGTATTACAGAGTAATTTACAGCTGTAATTTAAGCATATCATGATAAACTTGTTGGCATCTTAATTTATAGGCTAAAGACTGGGAATGGGGGTTAAACTTCAACAGTTGCAAAGAATGAAATCTAAGTTACATTTTTAATTTCCAAATTAAATTATAGCCAATTGAGTTCCCCTTCAAAAATGGGTGTTGGTCATGTAGTGGAGTTAGTCTTACAAGTTTAGCCTGTTTAAATGCTTGTGCTGAAAATAAAAATTCCTTCAAATGTGACTTCCACGATAGGTTGTAAAAGCTAATCTCTCAACTACTCAGCCATTTTAAAACCAAAGTTGCATAGAGGTGCTTAACTTTCTTACTTCTAGGTAATTTTTTGTAGTTTTGAGTATATGTGTTCCCTAGATGCCCAGTGTCAAAGACATTGAGGTGTGACAGTGGTTTTGCAGTTGTATTCAAGTACTGAAAATCTTGTTTGACTAAATGTTATGTTAAACTTCGCGTTCATGTACTCTGCATTCTCCACTTTGAGGTTCTCTTAAGTGGACAAAATCTGTAACAGAGAAATCTGTAGCACTTTTTGTAACTGTTTTAGGTTTTGCTGCCTCTAACAGTTTATTTACTTTATATTCAAACTCATCTGGTATTTCAAACATGTACCTCATATTCCATGAAACAAATACTTAATAAACCTTTAAAATAGTCTTTGTTTAGGGTGTGAAAAACCCACTTGCTTGTTCTGTGTCAACTTGACTAGAAAACTTTGTCGTAATGACTAGAGAAAAAGACCTTCACAAGGAGAAATAATCTTTTCTATTTGAAATGGGTTGTTCTTAAGTGTAAGGTCAGCATCACCACCTGAACAGAAGACAACTGCAGGGGTTCTCTGCTGTTCTGAAGCAGCTGTTCTGCAAAGCTAACAGTGCTCAGTGCAGTTTCCTATCAATCTGGCCTTGTGCCAAACATGGTATGGGATGCTGGAGAGATGAGATGTCTTAGTTTGGGACATCGGTGCTTTTGTGCAGCTACATCAATACCAGTAATGATGTGAAGCTTTCCACAAAGCTGCTTGAAGTCTTGAATGCCTTAACTTAACAAATGTTGTGATTAGCACTGTAAGTAAATGCTATTTAGATAGGGAGTGGTAAGACCGTTTCTCAGTGTATCGCTTTAGTTTCTTATAGTATAGATTGTTTTAGCACAAGTAATTTGATATTCAGATAATTGAAACTTGTTAGCTGTGGAAAAATCAACAAGTAATGTATGATTATAGACTATAACACGTTTTTTTTCTTTGTAATTGGATCAAAATCATTCAGTTTGCAAGTTGCAAAAGGGAAGCTTGTGTGGTTTCCATATGCGTACCTGCACATTCAGTATCTTGTAAGCTTTGTTGCACTGACACTGGCTGTTCAGGATTTAGTGGCTCAAACTATGATAAGGGGTCAGTGCAAATCTGTTCGTATTTGTATAAAAAGCTCAGTGAATTTTTGAATGCTTTTAATAATACCTCACAGAAAACCCCATTTTACTTTTTCCTCATGTAAATATGGTTTTTGCCCTTTGGGAAACCATCAGAGTGGCATTATGTATATGTAGAGTGTGAAAAGCATGTAATGATGGCAGATGTCCCAAGTAATTTACTGAACCTGTTTTTTTGTAAACAGAGTTTTAAAAGAAGTGTTAAGGTTTTGTTAGAAGGGCAGATGTTTTATGGTCCTATGGGCATTATTCTCTCTTTTAAAAAAAGAATATGTGGAATGATAAATATGAACCAAAACTTTAAAACCTCAGATTGTTTCTTATTGAAGAGTATACAGTACTTAAATGTGAGGTTAACATTCAGCTGACTTTCTCAGCTTTGAAGTAATGTGTTTGAAATAGGGCTTGGGTTAAAAGCAGTAATTATAGTGCACGGACTTTGGTTTTAAATAGCTGTAGTCTCTTTAGGGTTTTTATTCAAGGATTAGGTTGTAACTGCTGCATCCTCTATCCTAATTGAGTTGAAAAGCATTGGCGTAATATTTTAAATTACAGCTTTTCTTTGATTAAAACATCTAAGTTCAGACTTGGAAAAAAGTTAAATTACCAGACAGGCTTCATCCATGCAAATTCTTATTTACTGAATTAAATTAAGAATATTGTAATATTTGCTTCTTTTCTAGCTGTGTAAAAGTATGTTCAGACTTTGCAGCTTTCTGTATTAATTGAAAGATTTTGACAACTAACAAGTACTCAAAAAAAAAAAAGCAGCCTAGGAGGTTCAAACAAAGCCTGTTTAGGCTAGAATTGCCTGCCAATCTCTAAATTTGAAAGTCATAACAATGTTTTAAAAATCCTTGTTAATATTAGTTTTTCATATAATAAGACTTTTTACTTACCTTAATAAAGCATGTTTGAAAAATTAAGCATCCGTTAAGTAATACAGCATCTATGTTAATCTTGAGTACCAGTCGTCTTAGGTACTGTGATGCTGGGAGCTTTGGAAGAATTCTATTATGTCAGTAAAGCCCAAAGCAAAAAAGCCCACGTCCATTTAAGAATAATTCACATGAGTTGTTTGCAACTTAATGGTCTATATTTTACTATGCAAGAATATTATTTTGTCATTTACTGTATTTTGATAGATAAAACTTAAATACAGATGCTTCTGTGCTGGATGAAAAGATATCGAGTCTTCAGTCCTAAAGATTTCAGATTTGTTTCCAAAGGAATTTTCTCCTGTTCAGAAGGAGAACATGACTATTATCACTCAGAAAAACAGATATTGTAAAAAAACCCCACAACACACCCATACATAAACAAAAAAAAAAACCCAAACCCAAAGCTCTTCAGAGTCCCAAGTTCCCATTCAGTGCTCAGTCCTCTGGTGAAACTTTCTCATTTGAAGCCAGCTACTTAAGGAGTCTGTTACTTCAGTACCCTCTGTTCTGAGTTCCTATGTTCTTTAGCAGGTCCAAGACAGTTAGTTGTTTACTCCCTGAATGAGTAACGTATCCCAGTTCTGCTTTGCTGTAAAATGTAAGAGAAAGTTAAACTTTTATTTGGCCTAGTAGTAATCCTTAGATATAAAACTGGAAAAATACTTTAAATAGTGCATATCTTGATAAACTAACTGGATTTTTAAATGTGTGGAGGTGTATAAAGAACAACAGGTCTGCTTTAAGCATAACAGAATTTCTCTCCTGGTGTTTTAAATGTGTTTACAAAATATCATTCTCCTGGACTGCATGCTCATAGCTTTTTTTCTTAATTTACAGTGTCAGAAGCAGAAGCTTTGTTCACAGGCGGAGAAAGCTGGCACTTAGCAGTTCAGTTCCACCTGGAGTGTGCCTATACATTTCTGTATTACTATGAGTATAAAAAAGCTAAGCAGTGCTTCAGTACAGCTAAAGACATAACGAAACTGCAGATTAATCTAACAGGTAAGTTTTGCTTGTACAGTCTGTGAGGATGATTGGTCCAACCAATCTAAGCTATGATTTCTTGGGGGTTTTTTACATATCCAAGTAAAAAGAACTATTATTTTGAAAAATCTTGACTTTTAACGGGTAGGATGTTTTTGTCTTCTAAGAATTAGCATTGCTTGGAAAAGGGAAGGGAAATATACCAGCTAGGTACAGTATCATCCCTAATATGGGTGTCTGAGCAGCTGTAGTGGTATATACCTTCTCGTGTTTCATATAAAGTCTAGTGCTAGTTGTCTATTACGTGACTCAAAAGTAGTTGCGTGTCATGATGATTTTTTTTTGTTGTTTGGAGACACTTATAAAGGTGATGATTTGATGCAGTCTTTACCTTTTATGCCACTAGCCTAGATCTACTCCATGTAAATAGCATTTAAAAGTCACCTCCAGGACTGTTACCACAGGAAACAAGTAGAAAAGACAAATTTCTGATGAACAGAAATATCAAGAAATCAATCACTATGGAGGCTTTATAATTATCCTTTCAAAACCTATTTTTTTGAGTCAGGCAGATGAGATCGCTGCACTTGTAATTTCATTTAAAATTACATGTGTAGATATAGGACTGTTTGGTCTAGGTGGTCCTGCTGTGTAATCAAAATGGCATAAAAAGCACCCCTCTTCTGTGTGAGAATTTTTGATTGTGCCTGAGTAGAATTGTAAAAAACTTTAGTTAGTTTTTCTATAGACTTACTAGTGGAAAGGACTGAGCGACTGAAGCTTGCAGCCCTCTTGCCTGTTGCACTGCTGTATGTCACACGGCTAGCTGGTCCTTTGTATTTAGGTTGGAGCTGCAGCTCCCCCTGCTTATACAGCCTGAGTCAGTCTAATATTTTAATTTAAAACAAACAAGCAGGCAAACCACAACATTTTTGTGGACTTTTTCAAAGGTTTTAAACATTTACTCTGAAAAATATGTAATGAAAATCTTGTTGCAGAATGTTTTTGTGTAACTGTGGATTGATTACATTAAATGGGATCTCCTTAAAAGATAGGAGAAGTGTCTGTATACGTGTTTGAAGGCATTCTGTGCGTTTCAATTGGTCCTACCCTTTTTTCCGATGGGCAGCATGTACTGTATGTGTGATGTGATCCATGTGTGACATATACTGCAAACTTGAGATAGTAAGGTAGTTTTGTTTAAAATTAAACTATATTTGTCTTTTTATTAAAAATATCAGTGTCTGTGATGATACTCAAGCTATGAAAATTTAATTAAGTAAGAACAAGTAAAATCAAAGTGACAGATGCCTATTCACTGATACTCCTTAACTTACAGCTTACATGTTGGGTGGGTTTTTTTGGTTTTGGTGTTTTTTTTCTTTTAAAGGAGGTCTTTAGATTTTGGATGAATAATTTCTTTAAATCTAACATAGGAAGAAAACTCTTCTTTGGGGCGGGGGAGGAGAGAGTTTGAATGCAGCAGAGTTATTTGTATTTTTGATTACTTCACCAAGGGTTATGCTAGTCCCAGAAAGAGATTGTGGTGATAGTCTCTTGGGAAAATGCTGTGAAACTCCGTAAGTTCTGTGGTTTATCTCCATAAATCTATTAGAGTAGTTATGAAGGATGTCTAACCTTAAGGTAAATGAACTGAAGAGAACATGTGGGAATTGTTGGCATTCTAGACAAATTCATTTGACATGCATGTTTTGGCTAAATGGAAAGAATGTTACATCATCAAAAAAGACTTCGCTTTAATGTAAAACTTCAACCTCTGGCAAAGACATTGTTAAGGCTTTTGGAATGAATTTCCTTTTTAGGAAAGGGTTTTAAGAGGTTTTTATTCTTTAATGGCTGTAATACTTGTTGAACATTTTATTATGGCATGAAAATGTATGCTGCTCTTAAAATTTAGAACCATTGTTTTTCAAAGTTATTTTAGGAGTGTGTGAATACATCATACTTGTTTTGGCTTATGTACTTTATAAGGCCCCATTAATCCAGGTCTGTGCTGTATTCATTGTTTATTAAAAAGCATCCTTATGCCCCTCACAATGAATCACAACCGTCAATAACACCACAAAACAATTACCAGTGCAACAGAAATTTATATTTATATTCTTGAATATAAATATTGCATATTAGAAGGATTGTAGTCCAAAATAAATTTAAGATCAACAGATCTGAGAGATTAACAATGCTGAACTCTTGAGATCTGCATAGTGCCTGCTTATTGTTTTCATGCCCAGTAGTGCACCCCTGGGAACTTTTAAGGTGGAACAGAAAGTCAAGTCTCTATGTAGATTCCCATTCTTTTGTGAGGATATACGGTGGTATAAAGCAAGCAGATTTCCCCTCAGCTTAAACATATGTGATCTGTATTTTCCAAATAAAAAGGATCGTTTTGTCCCTGTAATAGCAAGGTATTCTTTGCTTTAAAAAAAGGGTGAGCGGGTGTGTGCATCTCACAGTGTAAACAAATCAGTTTGTGAGTGGTAGCAAGTAAATTTATTGGTAACCAATGTAACTTTGCAAGTGTCTTATTTAGCTGTTTAAGCAGTAAGACATAACAGGAAGTGAATTACAGCATAAGGGTTTTCAAGCATTATTAAAATTGAGAATTTAGTACTACCACATAAAATGGTTATAAATCATTACCCAGTATTTCTTTGTGTGTGAGTTTTTTCTTTGCAGTGTGCCATGCCATTTTAAAGTGATATTTTTAGAAGCTTTTTCATTTCTTCATAAGCCCTTAACGCAGGGCTTTCCCATTAATAGGGGTGGTTGGCGAGGAGAAATCAGTTTAACTTCTGGCTTCCCTACTGCTCTCTTTCCAGCCAAAAAAGAGGAGTGACTGCTACTTCAGTGCTTGTGCCACCTGATTCTTACTGACAATGGTCTCATCCTCAGGCCTTTTTGGCACATGAACATCTTTAGATTTTATGTACTGCAAAGTTTTCAAAATGATAATAAAATTAAGAAATTAATTGATTCTGCAAAAGCAACAGTGCTTCAGCATTCAGTCCTCCATTTCTGATATTGGACTTTCACAGTTCACGTTATCTGAGCATTACATCACAGTAATAATAAGCAAGCAAACCTCCAAATCTTAGAGTAATTTTTAGCTTCATTTTGCCTGTGGTTAGGATTCTGTTATTCTAAGTTACTGTCCTGAAACTGTGGTACAATTTCTCTGATTACAGCGTGCAGACAAGGTTGCTAACAGAGGAAGAAAAAACATGTTGTTCTTTTCAGTTAGGTCTAAATGTCAATTGCCACTCTAAAAACTAGTAAAAATTGTCTGAGGGTCCAATAAGGAATTGAATAAACAACACTGAAAGGAATCTCACATTGTGCATGCTGAGTACTGATTAACTCAGTAGACAGCCTTCATTGGTTTGCTGTTTCATGCTCTCCCATGTTACTTTTACGGTATCTTATGTGCCATGTTATGGTAACGTCACGCCTGTGATCTTCATAGACCTAAGTCTTCAAATAAAGATTTGAAATATGTAAAATGATGGCCTGTAAGATAGTACGGGATTTTCATTTGCCTACATGTCTCCATGTTGTCATTAACTTTTGGCAGATAAATAGAACTGTTGTTTCTGGTTTGTTGCTAGGGAATAAGTAGGGAACTGGTGAAACCTGATGATGATGAATTTTCAAGAGACAGTATGGTGGGTTGTGGGGTATATGCCCAAAAGTGGATTTGCAAGACCTATCTAGCCATGTTTGTATATTTGGAATATGTATTCCCTTGTGTGTCGTAGCTAGCAGTGAGAGCACAGGTAGCTCACTTCCAAGAGATCATGCAGAGTTAAACCACTGCTGAATTTCATAGGTTCATTCTCAAGGTATTTCTCTCTCTATTGTGCTTTTATGTGAGCAACTTTCTAGTATATGGTGGGATTATTGGTTTTAGTATTCATGAATATAAACTCTCATTGACTTTTTCTAGGTGCTTTGGGGAAGAGAACACGATTTCAGGAAAAATATGTTGCACAGCTTATTTTGGATGTCCAAAGAACAGATGAATTCGTCCTTCCTTACAGTGAACTGAGTCCAGCTCCAACACCTCTAGAAAACTTAACAATGGTATGTATTTGAGAAGAATGCCTTTAATTTCTTAAAATGAAGGTGTTCTGAAGCTTTTCTTGGGTGTCTGCAAGGGAAAAATGTGTGGTGCCTAAGAGAAACTTATGATTTCTGAGAGCTCTTGGAAACGATGTGGGGCAGTCGTTGGCCTAATATAAAAGAACATGGGGTAAACCAACATATTACTGTCTGCAAGACAGATGTGGCCACACAACTAACCATGTTTGCAAATATGATCTTCTACAGTTTTTGGATTAATTTCTAGTGACTAAGAATGATGGAGTTAGGAAAACAGGTGAGAGACAGATTTTCAAAATAGCCTGCAAGACATTTCAGAAATGCACAGATTCCTGAGGACTGACAGACATGTTTAGTAACTGTGTGAAGATAGGAAGTAGGTCTTGGTATCCTACTGGCATGAATTATGTGACTTGGTCCTGCTGCTCTTAAGGGTGTGCGTGAGGACTTCTGTTATAAATTGCCCAGCAACCACTGAATTGGTTTGGGATGGCATTTTTCCTTCATGAGGAGAAGTTCTGGATGGAAGTTAGTTATTTGAACTTGCTACAGAAGCCAGAGATCAATTGAGGCATTATGGTCCAGGATTATTCTTCAGGTTGGAGAGCCTTTACAAAGAAAAGTTATGTTTTTCCATAACCTCCAGGTCAAGCAGGGATCTTAAGCAAAATAATTTGACAGTACATTTCTAGTTCTAAATTTAGCATACAGACATCTTAGGAGACTGTTGTAACTTATCTTTGCCCATTAGTATGTCCTTAGTATTGTATTTGATTGGAGATTGCTTACATATATGTCACAAGTTGGGCCTAGGAGAGAACTGTGTATAGCAACCAATTTTAGGATAGTGAGAGCTTGGGGCAGGCCACTTGAGCGTCAGACTTAGTTGTAGTCTTCGAGTCTAACTTAAGTAGAAATTCATGATATGATGCATTGTTTTATGAATACTTTTCCAGTTATTCACAACTTCTTGAAGAATTTGCCCATGTAGTCTATATCTGATAAGGACTTTAGTTTGGAATAAAATTATGACATTGTTTCAATAAAAATGGAAGCAGTCTTTTGGACTGTGCATGTAATATGGGATGAAATACGTTACCCTTGCTAACAAAATACTATATTCATATGTCCTTTTAAGTGAACAGATCCGAAGTTGCTGAACTAAGTTTAGAGAAGAGTTTGTGAAAGAGAATTTGGGATATTTGGAACCTTTAAAATTTAGTCATGCTTATGTTATCCACACTTTCCTACTAAAATTTGACTGAATGTGTCTTGAAAATAATGCTAGAGAAGTTAAGCATGTTCACTCTTTCTCAAAAGTGAAAATGTGATGCTAGAAAGACTTGAGAGGTTTTGGCTACTTTGTCCTACTCAGGCTGCCTATTAAGGAAAGTTAGGCTTTCTGGGTTTTTTTTCTTAAAACGAACAAACCAACCCCACAAAACTAAAATACCCCAAAACCTTACATTTCTGCTTTTTGTGTGTCAGAAATACTAGAAAATAAGTATTATTTAAACCATGTGCTGCTTGGAGGAAGATCTGAGGTATTTCAAGTTCAGGCATTTTATTAACATCATGTGTGTGTCCTGTCACAGGTATTAGACCAGGCTTGACTAGACTCCAATTCATGTGTGTGTTGAATTACCAATTAGTGTCTTGGGTGTTTTGCCCTTTTTCTAGCATGGCTTTATTGATAATGTGGTGTCAAAATACTACATTACTTTATGTAATTTATAACTGTTAACTTTAACAGTGAATACAAGTGTTTCTTCTTCCAGGTCAGGTCTCAGATTTGTCAGCCTTGAGTGCTTTTAGCTAAAAGCCTTCGAGTGCTTTTAGCTAAAATTGGAGTTAATGTTATTCTCCATCTGCCAAAAACTACCGACAGCATCATTGCATCTCTTCCTAAGTTTAGGCCAGATGCTTGACATATCTTGTATACTTTTAAAAGACTATTCATGGAAATTGCATAGAAGCTGAGTCTTGAGAGGTACTGGGAATCTCCACAGAATTAACATGCATATGGAAAGCTGAGAGGCCTGTGACCATGCTGCAAAATTATAGGAGAATTTTCTCCCCCTCTCCAGTGTTCTTATTTTACATCTGCCATTTGCAGATGTAGGAAAATACTCTACTGCCTAAAGATAGGAATCCTGTATGAGTGGAAAATTCCCTAAGAGAATCATGAACTGTGCCAGTAGGTATTAAGGCCACGCTGACTTTGGTCACACCTAGTTTTCATCTCCTGTTTTGGAGCGCTTACTTCTATGGTCTTAAAGTTCTCCTGCTATTGTTGTTCAGTAAGATGACTGAACAAGTTGTTCTGCAATTAAGCAGTCCGTAATTGAATTCCAGTAAAAATACAACCAATATATCAACGTGGCTGATTGTTGGACTGGTAACTGGCTGGGCTCATACCTGGTCAAGCGCTTCCTGCTTCCCCCTGGTGCTGGGGAGTTATGTTATCTCAGATGGCACTAGAAGGAAAACTGTTTGCATTTCAAAATAAATATTTGAGGTTGTAAATTCAAAGCTTTGCTCGCAGGTCAGCTTTCTTCAGCATAACTGATCTGAAAGCACACGTTCAGTTAAGCTGACAATGCTTCTGTGAGAGGGAAACCTCAGGCTTGAGGTGATGCATAAGGACTCTTGTTCTGAAAATGGTATGTTAAAATAGTTTGACTAGTTGTAAAAAATTCAGAGCTGGTCTTGTATTTTGGGGAATGAGGGATTTGTTTTTAAATCTAGTAATGGAAGTCATGCTTTAAAACTCCAGCATACACTTGTGTTACAGTTCAAATGATCAGTATTCATAGTGAAGTTAAAGCAATTAGTACTGTTTATACAAGATAGATTTTAAAGTTTATGTAGACCAGAAGCTGGAAATCTTTAACTACATGTCTTGTAACATAAATTATAATTTATGTTACATCTAATGAGGTGGTATCAGTATACTAGCGTAGTGGTCTGTTCTAAAATGATTTTAATCTGGAAGTGGTAGTTAATCCCCTTATATATGCTAATGTAGTAAGAGAAGAAAATGATGGTATTAAATATGCCTTTAAGAATGGGAATATCTCCATTATCCCCTTAAAATAAAATAAACTTGCTTTCACATTCTCTGACAAATCAGTTTACTTTCATATACAGTGATAAAATACTGGTGATGAATGCATATAACCCACCTTAAAGCACTCCTGCTGGCTTTTTCTTCTTCTGTGGACCCTCATTTTGACCTTACCATGGGAAGATACTCACTGGAAACCGCTGATATTAGGACTTTGAAGGGAAATTAATAGGAAGTTCAAAAAACTGTTACTAGAAATCCATTTTGTCTTTTTAATAACTTATCAACAATACTACTGATGGCTAAAAACCAGTAGTACAATAACTGGTTGAAAAATTTCTTTTTGTTTCGTTTGGGTTTTCTTCCCCAGGGGAAGGAGAAACAATATTCCAGCTACCCCCTTCTTGCTTGCAGCCAAAAGAATCTTTTGTTGTTTTCAAACAAACACAAATTCTGTGCGCATAGCAGTTCATACTTTTCAGCCACAGATTATATTACTTCACTCAAGGTGAATGGCAGACAGTGAACTTCAGGTAGCATACTTGTTTTTAAAAGTTAAACAACTTGTTCTAGAGGAGATTTGATGGGAAGTCACAAGTACTTGTCCAGGAGCAAACCTTTTCAGAATACCCCTTCTTGCCTTTACCAGAGCACAGCGTCGGGAGGTGCTAGCTCAATGGGCGCATAACTCCTTTTAAAAAAAGGAAGAGGAGGAGCACTTCCCTGCCTAAGGAATTCAACTGAACTGGCACAAGGCATGCTTTACTTGCTTGCACTCCGCTGATACTTAAAATAAATCCATACATTCTCAGAGATGCATGGTCATTGACCTGAAAACCTGCATGTTAGGATAGCATTTAACATTACACAGGCAAGCTGAAACAGATTATGTATAACAGAGGAGGAAATTGTCAATGATAATATACGCAACAATTTGAAAAGGAAAAATCTCCTTTAGCCCTTAATTAAGTAGAAAATTGGTATTCAGGTAACCTTGAAGTTGCTCTGAATGCTGTTCTTTCTGCACGATAAGCAGTATACCTGGAGTAAAAGTGGTTTGGATGATGGTTTCCTGTACTACATTAGTCTGTTAGTTAATTATCCTATCATAATCATGGTAAATTACTTTCCATTTTATTGTTTTCTGATGTTTGTATTATCTTTTTTTAAGCAAGTGTGTATTTTTTTCATGTTTTGAGGGAATCATTTTCTCTTCTACTGTTCCTATCTGTTTTAAAATATTTTTTCTTCTCCAACAGAATTATGATTTAAATGATGATACAGTGCTTAATGAGATAAAATTAGCAGATGCTGATCAGTACCATTTACCTGATTTGTGTGCAGAAGAGCTTGCTGTAATCCTTGGAATATGGTATGTCAGTTCATAGTTACTTAAAATACTGTATGAATCATTGTTATAATGAAATAATGAAGTGGTGGGTTGATGGGACTTTTCTTCTTACTTTCTTTATCTTCTTTCTATCTTTTTCTGGCTAAAGTGCTAAGAGTCACATTATGTGGGGACAGAATTTTTGGCTCTCTCAGAGCGAGCAGTGTCCAGTTCAGAATTTCAGCTTTTTGTTAATTGCTATATTGTTCTATTATCCTGGAAAAGCTTCTTGTTCTTTGTGCCTCAGTTTAATCAGTTGGCATTAGCTACCATATGGTGATGACAATTTCATAAATTTTGAAAACTTATTTCAGTCTGACGTGGTCAGCTTTCAGTGAGGATCAACCATGTCTTTCAAGCAAAATGCTGCCCTGCTACTCAATGCAGTGAGAATACTTGTATAAAATCAGACCTCCCATTGTTGGTTAGAAGCTATAGTACAAAGTCCCTGTGGTTTTGCACTAAGGTTTTTTCTTTACCTGGCTTTCAGAATTTGTATGCTACATGGGTTTTAGAAATAGCACTTGAAATTTGAGGATGGTAAGCTGCCTGTTAATGAATATCCTAATTTTCTAATAGAAAAATAGTTTCCCTAATGTAGTGGTCATTTAGCTGATGACAGTTACCTTGCCCAAGTCAGAAGAAGGACAGGAGCCGAAGAATGAGTGCATCCTAGTTCCCAACTCTCAGAACAGTGTTTCCTCTGCAGGGGCACCTAGGTGTTATACAATCTGTTTGTGACAGGGTGACTGCAATAACATGCCAGCAAAAGGCTAGTGTGACAATTCAATGGCGTAAGCTAACAAGCAAGCATTTGGCAGTAGTGGGGCACTTTTGTGTGGGGCTTTTTTGCTTGTTTTGTAGTACACATTATAATATTTCTCTCCCCACTCACCAAAATTTTCAGTTATTTTCATAGAACCATGGAGTAGTTTGGGTTGGAAGGG